AATGTGACTCCAAACAGATGTGAGCATCACGACAAAATGCCGCACTTACCAATCAAATGCTCCATTAGAGGCAGGTTAACAATGCAAAAAAACATGCCATTCCGGTAGAATGGCAACACTTTCAGCTGCAGGGTTAAACCAGAGAGGCACATGGCACCCAGACCACTTCATTGAGATGAAGTGATCTATGTGCTTGTAATGTTCCTTTAACTCAGTAAAAGGCAGAACAAAGAGCAGCATTTTATAATATGCAAAAAATATACTTATGCATTTATTATAAAAAATAAAAATAATGTTGCTGGAGAAAATGGAGATTCAAAAAATTACTTGGTATGTACTCTTCTTGTCCAGAGAGAAAAACTTACAATAGATGAACTCTGTTTAATTGTTGTGAATGTAAATGATTTAAAGATTTGTAACGCTATTCCTCTTAAACTACAGGAGCTGGCTGAAATGAAGCAGGTTTTACTTGGGCTGCATAATAAGAGGCATGGCGAAGGGTTACCTCATTCTAGAGAGTCTGTGAGGAATGTGACAACAAAACCGAAATCCAGATCTCCTCAACGTGTCATACAGCAACACCAGGAAGAGAATATATTTATACCTAAACCAACTTTATTTGTAAGTGTTTTTAAATCTTCCTTTTAGTTAATGATTAACTGATGTTTTATTGCAGGTTTAATGTCTACTTGTTACTAGTTACTACAGTACTATAAGGAATATTTTATGGATTTATTTGTTTATTCCTTGAAAATCCAGTAAAATATATATATGAGCTGTTTGTGATCCTTTTTCCTTGGTAATATTTTATCATCACGTTGCCATATTGTGGAGGGGGGGCAACAAATATATATTGTAGGAACAAAGATGATGAAACCATCAGACTGAAAGAATTTTAGGGTTATATTTTGCGAAAAACGTGCCTTTATATTTAATTTAATTTAACTCTCTCTTACTATCAACAATTATAATAAGAAAATAGCCATAATTTTTAAGATACTCATTTGAAGCATTGTAACGGACCGCCTGGAACCCCGACCGGTTACCTCTGTCAATTGCTGCTTCCTAGTACTTGCAAGCACCATAAGCACTGCACTGGAACACCATAAACCTCACAAACTGCCGCAGCTTGGTTGGAGTCTCACTGTCCTCCACCCACCCTGGACCCAAGACCAGGATCCAGCTTCCAGTGGGTAGACTTCTCCTTTTTCAGAGAGCAAAGCAGGCTGCTTTTATGAGAGCAAGGGTTGTGATCCAAGGGAGTAATAGTGATTATAGCAATCCCCAGAGTGTGAATATAGCTCTCCAATCCCCCAAACATGAGCCTAGACTTCATGAAGGGTAAACAAATCTCAGTTTAATAGTAGCAACACTGGCCTTTTATGACTGTCCCCATGCAAGGGGCACTCCCCCCTGGACCTGAGAGTAAACAACAGTAGAAATAAATACACAATCACATTGGCTCCCAGGTCCAAGACACTCCCATACAAAATAAGATAATCCCTCCTCTGTGCCTGGGAGATAATTGGATCAGGAACTGTACTAATCTAATCCAATTATCTCCAAGCACAGAAAAAACATACATTTTTACAAACCCCCCTTAAAACACAGAAAATCCCCATATCCCGTGATAGCCCTGATCTGGATGACCAACATATCCAAAAATCACCCAGATCAGTTCAGGGGAATTTCCTGGAAGTCTTAATTTTGACTGACTGCCCACATGGTCCCACACCCAAAACAGTTCCAGAGAATCAGGGTATTGCGGCCAGTCTAGTTCGGTAGTTTAAAAACGAACAAACTACCGAACAGAGTCCATAGTCTTACCCTGCAGCTTGATCCCCTTGTTCGTGGGATGTTTCCCCTGAACAGCAACCGCAGGCGATGCTGGAAGCTGCCTGCGTTTATGCAAACAAGATGGCTGCCACCTCGTGGTCGTCCATAGGAATTGTGGCCACCCAGACGGACACTTAGAACACTGATTTATAAAGCTAACATTAGGGATGTGAGAGGGACAGTGTTATTTCAGTGCCTGGAATACTATAGACTAATATTATAAGTAAGTACTTCAGAGTAGGAATGAGCAGATATTTGTGATTCGTGAATGGGCAAGGCCGGACTGAGAAAACATTTTGACCTGGGCAGAGTGTGCTTTGGTAAGGGGTGAGGCCAAAGAGGGTGATTGTTGTGTTAACAACCCTCCCTCAAAGTTAACATGTCGATTTGATGTTCTTCCAGGGCAGACCATGTGCAAAACCCTTCTGAGAAGCACTTGCATGAGAAAAAGGGCCCTGCGTTTGTTCTGCACAGCACAGGCAAATTTAATGATGTGCTCGTGCTTGTGACTTGTCTCTGGTGTATAGGTGGGATTTTACATTTTTGGAGGCCTCTTGTGGAATTGTGTGTATATGTGGAGTGAGTTGAATGTAGTGTGGTGTTTTGTGCCAATAGGTTGGCTTCAGTTGTGTTTGTGGTGTAATATTTGCGGCTTGGGGCTGTAGAGTGTGTGTGTAAGTGTGTATAGAGGATACAGCGAGTTTCTGTGTAGGGGGCTGGAGTGTATGTGTGTGTGTATAGGTGATGTAGTGCGTGCCTGTATAGAGTGTGTGTTTAGAATTTATTGTGTACATAGGGATCTAGAGTGAATATGTGTGTACATAGGGATCAAGAGTGAATATGTGTACACATAGGGATCTAAAGTGTGTATGTCTGGAATGTAGTGTGTATATAGGTGATGCATTGTGTTTATAGGGTATGTAGTGTGTGTGAAGAGTGCAATGTGTGTGTGTTTGCTGGAATAAAGTCTATATTGTGTGTGGTGGGTGAGAAGGGAGCAGTTTTTTTGTTTTTTTCTCAGGGAGGGACGATATTACAAGTCCTGGTGGTCCAGTGGCAGTGAGTGACCGCCTAAAACTTCTCCGGCTGCAGGCTGAGTACTTTCCTCTCGCAAGCTCCGGGTATGTGCTGTGTCGGAGCGTTGCCATGGTAAACATGGCAACGTTCTACACCTGCAAAAGGACTATTCAACCTGTCTTCAACGAAGTGCTAGTGGGCCTGTGAGGGAGAACTTTGATCTCCCCTGCCGGCCTCGACCCATGGCCATTGCGGCCCAAAGGGCATTTCCGATATGGGCAGTCTGAGCCTGCATGCACATGTTCACAACAGTCAACACAATGTAGAATTAGCAGTTACAATCATGGAATGTGCATATCCATGCATTTATACTACTCTGGTCTGCTTTTAACTACTGTGAAAAATCAGTGGAAAGCATCCATGCTCTTATTTTTTAATTTTTTTATTATTCTTTATTTTTCACTCGATAGGCACTGCAAGTAGACAGCAACATTTGGCTTGCGCAGAAGCCTTAACATGAGTATTTTCTTTACAATATAATGCAATTCAAGTAAATATAAACAAGCCAACACCTTTAGCCTTATAGACTTGCCGCCCACCGAGGGTTTTTACGGTTTATATACAGAGCGGTAAGCGACTTGATGGAGCCGTTACTTATCAAAGACTACATTTGCTCATAGGTTTCCCTGTTCCTCCAGCGGTTGCATCATGCCTGGTAAAGAATAAAAACATCATATGCTCTTATTTTTATCGCAAAAAGCACATACTCAATTTTTGTAAGATCTGAGTTTTACTACAGGTACCAAAAAGAGAGTATTGTAAACTATATAGACATTATAACAACATATAAATCTTTTTTGGAGACATTTATACTCCTTGAACATTTAAATATATCTCTATTCACGTATGCAAGAATTTGCTCCTGGGTAAGTCAGGGTGCCTTTCATAAATCCATTTGGGTAAGTTCATTGTTAATTTAAAAACTGATAAATTGCTGTATATTTCACTGACTGGTATGCAGATAGTTCAAAAGGATGAAACATAGAATGTGACGGCAGATAAGAACCATTCGGCCCATCTAGTCTGCCCAATTTTCTAAATACTTTCATTAGTCCCTAGCCTTATCTTATAGTTAGGATAGCCTTATGCCTATCCCACGCATGCTTAAACTCCTTTACTGTGTTAACCTCTACCACTTCAGCTGGAAGGCTATTCCATGCATCCACTACCCTCTCAGTAAAGTAATACTTCCTGATATTATTTTTAAACCTTTGTCCCTCTAATTTAAGACTATGTCCTCTTGTTGTGGTAGTTTTTCTTCTTTTAAATATAGTCTCCTCCTTTACTGTGTTGAATCCCTTTATATATTTAAATGACTTAATGTTAATTTCTCTAAGTGTACAGGTCTGAGGAAAAGCTTTCGTTTTCTTTCAAAATCTTCAAGTTGGTATTTATCAATCAGAATAGTAAATATGTTTAATTTATTGATTTCATTTTTTAATAGACAAAAAGTGAAGCACCAGAATGGTACAACAGGTTGAAGCAGAAGACAACATGAAGCCCTATTTCCATACATCCTGCACTACGATAAAATACCCTGGGAAAGTTTTTTTCTTAAATTAAGTGAACAGATTTTTTTTAAACCTTTTGATTTTGCATAATGATATAGGATCTGTTCATACTGCTGCAATAAATTTGTGTAAAGTGTATTTTTAAGTAAAAATTACATATTTTACAGTTGGTTGGTTGATTGTCTCTTTTTTCCTGTTAAAACAGCTTGGATTAAACCATTGATTGAAATGCTGAATTTCACATATGCACATGTTTTAAGCAGTCGTCATCGAGATGTGTATAAAATGTGAATGAAAGTGTTAATTAAAACTATATATATTTATTGAATCCATAAAATGCAGTTGGTGACTCCAAAAATTGCAGTATCTAAAGAAAAGTTTATGTGTGTATTTATATTTATATTATATAGATAGAGAGTGTGTTTCAGTTGGTGATAATTGTTCCCATATTGTCATTATTCATTATTAAATATTGAATCTGCACTGTATATCCATAAATCTTCACACTAGTGCATACACCATCACCTCCCCTGCTGAGTATGCAGATATGCTAGTAAGCATTGTGTAAGAGTGCTAATCTAAACGTGGACATCCACTGAGGGTACATCATTTTGTGGATGCGCATAGATTTGGCACTCCAAAGATGAAATCCAGAAACTACTAAAAATTTCCAGCTGTGAGTAATAGTACTAATAATATCTGAGCTGTCCTATTAGTCCAGTAATTTGTAGAGACAAGCTTTCAGGAGTTCCTAATTTTATCAAGCCTTAAACATTTTTGGAAATGCACTAGACTTGATAAAGGGAGAAACTCCCAAAGGTATGTCACTGAAAATGTCTGTTTATCCTAATGTAGTAGTTATTGTGGCAAGAATGTGTTGATGCATTCTGACAAATGCTGATAGTCTACATGTTTGGCATTGCCAATTACCGAGAATGCTTCTCCTTGAGAATGTAGGTTTTAGTGATTCGATGACAAGCATCCATTTGGCAGAACATGGCGATTGCCCTCTATGCGTGTTCAATATCATCATGTTGACCTTAGAGTGGGTGAAAGCACTAAATTAAAGTCAATTTTAAAATTATTTTTTTTTGTAATTTATATTTTCATTGAGCTGGTATTTTATGATATTTAGATAACGATACCATTCAAAAGTACATAGATACCAAAATAACAGAAAGCAAATATGTCAAACTGGCAAAGAGCAATCGTACATATCATTTTTTAAAGTGCAATAAAAGCAAAAATAAACAGTAGCCGTGGTTAACAATCATACTCTTATGTAAGTTAAAAGCCACTAATGGTGACTTATTCTAGGTATCCAATATCAAAGGAGAACACTGAATTAGGCAGGGCACAAAATGTAGAAGGCAGTAAGATCTGGGGGTGTTACTAAGCTATATAAAATTAGTAGCAGGAATCCTAATGCTCAAGCAATGCTTCATATAATGCAAATCCCTAGAAAAGATAGGGGACCTGTGCCCATACAAAAAGAAAATGGGAAAAACAGACTGTGCTGAGTTGAAAAAAATTGCTACTGCCACTGTTATTCAATAGCTAATCTCAGTGCTATAGTGGGGGTATAACTCAGTGAAGAGAAATGGCCAATATTTGGCATCTAAGATGACTGCATACATCAAGTAAATAACTTGTTAGAAACCTATTACATGCGCTAATATTTAGCTAGCAAAATACATCAACTTATAGCGTAGGTATTGAAAACATTCAGTAGATCTTGTGTTAGGGCAGTCCTGCTCCAGAGAACTTGGCCAGACCCAGCAAGCTCGCAATGGGCTGATTCCTGGTGGTCTCATGCGATCCCACAAAATATAAGGTATTGATATTGGCCATATTCCATTAAAGATTGTGGCCCTTGTGGCATCAGATGTTTGGTAACTGGTAGAGCCAATCCCAATAATGATGCAAATGCCAGCGCTTCTGACATGCTGCTGAGGTGAAAATGCTTGCCGTTGCGTTGTACTGTTAGTCGTCTTTCCAGTCCCTAGCGATACTGGATATCACTTTCTCTGAGATTTGCGATAGGGCTAAGTGACGGCATCCACTGCACTGTCGATCGGGAGAAGTCCCCATAGAATACAAGCTAAAGGATTCAAAAGTAGGTTGAGAAGAGTATCTAGTTGCCGCCACAATCACTGCCCTATTCACTTCCATTCGGAACAGCACCTAAATGTCCTTTGGAAAGTCCACTGGTGCTCCAGAAGACCAACCCACCCAGAATTGGGAGTCATCCACAATGGATTTTGCCTTTGTGGTGGTAGCAAGGAGGCTCACAGCCGTCTCAAGAAGTATAGGACACCCTAAATTCTCACATTTCTACACCCATGTAGGTCTTTTAGATTCACTGTCTTGAAACTCAAACCTCTGTTGCCACTGCTTTAGCTGCTCCATGTCCTGATATCAACCCCTGGTTGAGTTTGTGTCATCTTCCACAACCTAAGAGATCTATTCCTGGACAATAGACAAATCCGGGGTGAACATTGCTTTAAGTTCTATTAGTATGGCTTTGTTATCCGCTTTACTTGCTCGGGTGAGATTCTCATCCACTGAAGTCTCCGCTTGGGCTTGCCCCTACAACTGGTACGTAGTTGGTGTGCTTCAAGTATAGGCCTTCGGTTCGGTTGGCGGACTCATTCCATCAGGGTCACTTTAATAAGCCGCCCTTGTGTTTGCCATTAGCTAGAATTGCCCTCTTGCAGGCTTAGGAGAGACATCTTTCCAACTTGTAAAATTGATGGGCTTCTCAGAGGCAAGTAGTTTTATTTTGGAGCTCCAAATAAAATTTAAAGGGCCACTATAGTCACCAGTACAACTACAACTTATTGTATTTGTTCTTTTGAGTATAATCATTCAGTTTGAGCTTTTTGCAGTAAACACTGTTTTTTCAGAGAAAAGGCAGTGTTTACATTACAGCCTAGCCACTGACCACTCCCCATATAGCTGCCGGAGGTGCTTCCTTGGTTAGTGGTGCATAGTGTGCAGCACTGCCGTTCAGGGTCTCCAACCTTTGCATGGAGACACTGATCTTTCCTCATAATGATGCATTGATTCAATGCATCTTTATGAGGAGATGCTGATTTGCCAGGGCTGTGTTTGGCTTGTGCTGGCTCTGCGTTTGATCTGCCTCCTTGACAAGCTATGTGAAAGCATTGTCATTGACTCAGAACACCACTTCGGATGATGTCAACCAAACAGGCAGAATAGTGGCAAAGCCAGCAGCAGACTGAAATAAAAGGTAAGATTTTACTATGTTTAGAGGGGCCAGCGGGGCTAACACTATAGTGGTTTTAACAATATAGGGTCACGAATACATATATTCACAACAATAAAGTGCATTTCAACGAGAGCGTTATTTACAGGTTTTCCCCAGACTTTGGACTACCACCCATGAAGCTGTTTTCAATCTCCTCTTTCCAAGAGCTCCTATTTAAATCAATGAGAAAATAATTCAACGCACGTTCATGAAGTCACACGAACATTTGTGTTGTATACTACAAAAAAAGTGAAATGCACACATATGAGCAGTAGTAGTTTTGTTAACGCTAATGTCTGCCAATCATATTTGTTTTGTGCATGCTTGAGTCATTCACATTTATTAAAATAGTGATACGGTGGATGCACACATTTAGAACTAACAGAAGGAAAAGTTAAAGTAGGAGAGAAAACCTTTTTATATGTTTTTTTTTTTTTTTTTTTTTTTAAACCTTGCCAAGCAGAGAAATGTAGAAGACCTCTTGGACTAAACATTTGGCTAGTACCAACAAGCTCAACTTCAGTAAATGCCACCACAAAGTAACCTGTCATAGCGCTGGCCTAACAAAACCTGCTTGAGTTCATGCAGACTGCCAGCAATGACTCTAACTGGCAATTAACTGCCAAAGAATGAAAAGAGAAATCTGTATTCAAGAAAGAAAGAAAAAAAAACACCATGCAAAGCAAGTCTGATCAAGGGCTGGGTGCTAATATGACTATGGTATTTTTTAAGCCAAAAAACTTGCCATCCATGCAAATGTTAACATCATTATGACTGTGTATAAAGTAAGGAACACACATTAAAATAATAAACAGAACAGTAATTTCTAGTAAATTCAGCATTTACACACTATTTTTTCCAGAGTGTTCTCTCGTTATGTGCTAAAGAAATCTTCACAGATTAATGGATACAGAAAATATTACACTATTAGATTTAACCCCTTAAGGACACCGCTTTAGAGGCTTGTCTTGCACTTAAAGGGACACTATAGACATCCAGACGACTTCAGCTCATTGAAGTGGTCTGGGTGCAGTGTCCAAGCACCCTTAACCCTGCGAAGGTAATTATTGCAGTTTTTCTATAAACACATGCATTTTTAGCTTTTTTGCGGTTTGTGTTCAACTGCAATTTGCATTTTTCTAATTTATTGCACCAACACATATTATAAACTGCTTTTTAAAGACCAAAAGAGCTTTATTCTGATGTGATATATACATTTATAAATTCTCATTTATTATGAAGGGAAAAAAAATACTTTTTTTTTTTTTTTAATTACACTTGTGGAAAAATGGGCAGGCCCAGATTCATGGGCCCTGTGACCTCGTCATGGGTTCTTGGAGGGGCATACTTGCCAGTCTCTTACCCTGTGACTATGGTCCCTGTAATGAACGTTGGGTTCAAAGAATGTGGTTGGGCCTCTTGGACTGATAACAGGAACAATTTGAACTTTCAAATCGACACTTCAAACTCCCGAAACTATTCAAAATGGAATTAGAACACGTGGCGTGGCCATTTTGTTTAGTCGAACGCATCCAGCGGTGTCTGGTCGTCGAGTGCATGGAACCAAAATCGGACACTCAACGGCACGAACACCGCTAAACTTTTACCTTCCATGGATGTTTGGTAAGAAGAAACTCCCGACCAAGAAACATATACTGGCTTTATTCACGAATGGCTACGTTCGGTATTTTGAATGTTATTTCGAATCCTCGAAGAAGACCGGCCGCACAGCCTGATTCTCTGGAACTGCTTTTGGCATGGGACCCTGCGTGCAGTCGGTCAAAATGTGACTTCCAGGAAATTCCTGAACCACTGAACTGATCTGGGTGATTTTTGGATATGTTGGTCACCCAGATCAGGGCTATCGGGGGGGATGTAACATTTGTGGGGATTTCATGTGTTTTTGGGGTACTTTTGGGGTTTTCTAAAATGGTTTTTTTCTGCCTGGAGATAATTGGCTTAATACAGTATCTGACTCCATTATCTTCCAGGTAGGGAGGAGGAATTGTATGCTTCAACCTCAACATAGAGCTGAGCCTCGTGTTTGTAGGGACCTGTTATACAAGCTATAACCACAAGCTCTTGTAAGAGCTTCACAGCTATGCTCTCTTGGAGGAGAGGTTCACCCACTGGAAGCTGGATCCTGGTCTTGGGTCCAAGGTGGGTGGAGGATGGTGAAACCCAAACCAAGATGTGGCAGTTCGTGGGGTCTACAGTGCTTATGGTGCCCGGTGGAGTGATTGGAGTCCTTGGTGAGCACTAGGAGCATCGATTGATGGAGGCACCCAGTCAGGGTGCCGATCGGTCCGTCACAAGCCCCACATTTCAAATGTGTACATATATATAGCAATTATTACTGTATATGTCCTGCGCACCGGCGGAACTAGATTAGTTGCACTGGGGCCCGCATGCAGGGATTGCCCATGCACTTACAATCCCAGTCGTGCTCTTATAGCGAGACCGGGCCCTTTTAATGATCAAGGCAGTGCTGGGAGGAAGCGAGCGTTAGTCATTTCCTCCCAGCTACGTCCGCGCGGGAGGGAGGAGGTATAGGAAAAAGCATAGAGGAGGGAAAAGCCAGCCCCTGACACATGTTAACCCCAGCCAGCAAAGGTCACCCAAACCGGAGGGTGGCTGAAAAATTACCAACGTGCATATGTATCTGTGTATGTAACTATGTATCTGTGTGTCTGTATTTACATGTATATCAGTGTGTGTGCCTGTGTATCTGTATGTGTGGCAGTGTATACACGACACACAAATGCACGCCTGCATTCAAACTCCAACATTCATATACA